TTTTTTTTTTTTTTTTACAGATAATCTATATTATCCACAAAAAATAAAAAATATAGTATATACTTTACTTTTTCTGTAATAAGTCTGTTTCCATTCAAACATTTCATGTCAGAGAATGAGGTCAATATAGTTTTATAAAATAAGTACTACATCCACAGTGTGGTATTTATACATACACATCAGATTTAACTGTAGTTTTTAGTTTCGCATTCTTAATATAAATATTCAACATGATTATTAATACTTGAAAGGAAAAAAATTTAATATAAAATAAATTTTGTAAATTTTAATATAATTTGCTGAATCATAACAGACCTTCCAGATTTTCAGAGTATACACTTACTAATTTTTAATTAATTAAAAATTAGCATAAACATAGTCCAAAAAGATGGTAGTTTAGAATTATGATTGCTTAATCTATGCTTATATTTTGTGTAGTTTTCTGACTAACTTTATTTTGGAAAGCTTTATATTATTTTGAGATACCTAGTACTTTGAATTTAAGATGCAAGTTTTCTTCTTATCCTGAGCTTAAAGTTGGAATACAAATTAAAATTTTTTAAAATAGTTTTTAAATATCATTACTCAAAAATTTATAGTATAAGTATTTTATTTTAAATACATTTTTAATATTCTTACTACAGTTTAAAAATTTTAAAATAACCAAACCTTACCATCAAATTTTTTTCTGAATTTAAGATATCCTCAGATATTTAAACTAATCCAATATTAATTATTTCTACAACTTACATTACATTTTAAAAATTTAAAATTAAATAAGTTACCTTTTTTTGCAACCTTATTACTGAAGTCCATTTCTTTTCTAACAGACCTGTATATTTTTTATCTATTTCTCCAGGCTGTAGAAAAAAAAATAATATTAATGACTAAAATTACTTATGTAATTAATTATAACTATTTAAAATCTACTTAATCTAATTTACTCTCTCTTAATAAATGAATAAAATTTTCAATATTTTATAAATACAAGTGACATGTACTAGTTTTTCAACGTTTTCTTTTTGATTTAATAATTAATAAATTTTGGGAGTTTGCGAGATCAAATATTCTGCTTTCTGATCACTATACAACAAATTGAACAGTTTCATAACAAGCATAAACAGAACAGCATGCAGCAAATATTTTGGTTTACATTCAAAATAAATTAGTTATGTATCTTTTAATTTTTCTTTTTTAGGGGACAACTTAGTATACATCAAATATTTTGTTTAAATTTAAAACAAATTTTAGTTATTTGTAATGAAACTATTTGTTCCATTTATGCTTGCTATGAAACTGTTTAATAGCAATTTTAAGAGGGAGGATGTTTTTCCAAGAAACTTTTGCTCCTAAACCTTTTCAGCATTTTGTTTTTGATAAATATAGAATAATGGAATCAATAAGTTTGCTGAAGAATATCAACAGGCTTATAACTAGAATGGTAATCAATTACTTAATTCAAATTTTAATCAATACATTATATAAAATTCAAAATAATCATCATGTAATTCATTTAGAATAAATATTAAAAATCCTACATAAAAGTTTTTTAGAAAGTATTTACAAACATATAACATTATTATTATTTAACTTATTTCTTAATTACAAATTACAAAAATAAAAAAAGAACCCGATATATAACATAACTAAACACCAATCGTATGCCGAAAATCTATCGGGCTAGTTTTAGGCTAATTACTAAATGAATTACGTAACCAATTTGGCTCTAGAGGTAGGCGTTATGCACCATCTCTTATTAATATTAATAATTATAAATAAATAAATTAATTTAAATAATTTAGAACCGCTGGGAGAAAAAATCGGCCCGGAGCGGGACTCGAACCCACAACACCTGCTTACCGTGCAGATGCGTTAACCGATAGATTTTCAGCATACGATTGGTGTTTAGTTAAAAAAAGAACATTTTAATTACATCTTCATTGTTTCAATTTTTTATCATTATGATATGTTTCTTGTCTAGTCTTCGTATATATTTGTGAGCATTATGTTGGCCTTCTTTATCACTAGATATTACACTGTCACTGGACTCAAGACCAACCTTAGAAAATCACTTTATTTTTCCAAAAGAATGCATTTTGGACCTTAAGTCCCTCATCAGCTTGTTGTAATATAAATAATTATGAAATTGATACTACCGCATTTACGAAAAGTACAATAAAATCATGACATTTGGTAAAATGCCAGTGACAAATCATTGATTATAGATCAAAATTCCATGTGTTTGATTAAACGTGCTGATTAAATGCTTAGAACAATTAAAACAAGCAGTAAAACAAACAGTACATGTAATAAAAGACAATGTTAAAATAATAAAATAAACATATTCACTGTTAAATGATGATGATAAAATAAATATACAGTGGGTGATCAGTTAACGAATAAATCGAATAACGAACACTTTCGCGAAAGATTTTTATGATCAGACAACAAACACTTTACTGAACAAATACAAGAAGAAGCAACATAAAATAACAAATACAGATTGATCTTCCTTTGTCTTCAGGCAACAATTCAAAACTTTTTGGAGCGCGGGAGACGTCGACATCGACATTCTACCCAGTATATACTGATCGGATAGTATTCCCCATATTTGAAACTCTTCCGTGTAATTCCAGCCTTTTATATTTCTGACAGAAACAATTCTTTTACGTTTTCTTCTGAAAATGCAGATTTATGCCGACATCTGCTATTAAAGATCCTTTGAAGTGGGAGGATGTCAGAACAACAGTCTTAAAATGGCATCCAAATCAGGTTGAGGTTAATAAGCCTAGGAATCTCTACAATTACAATGCTATTAATTAATTCTGAAAAATCATGAAGACAGAAAAGCAATCGACATTGGACAGATTCTTTAACCCCCACAAATGGAAAAAACATGACTAATAAAAATGCAAGACTGTGTATATATGTATTTTTATTATTACATATGAATAAACGTAGTAAGAAAGTATATATATTTTATTTTTGGGGGTCTCCAGAATGAATTAATCAAATTCCTATGATGACATGTTTAAATTAAAGCATTCTTTTAATCTAAAATATTTTTATGTTATCAGTTAGTGCTGCATGGCAAATTATATGGGAGTCCTATTTAATTGTTTGTATAATATAATTTGAATTTTCAAAATTATGCAGTAATAGTTAATTGGTTCATAAATTATGGTTTTATTGTGTATGCAGTAATTTTTGGGAAATTTCGGATCCTGAAAATATTCTGCACCATGCTCATAAGTTACATTGAACATTATTTCTTGCTACCTTCAGACATCTATACTTGGTCAGCCATGTTGTCAGTAAACAAAATCAACAAGGTGGCCAAGGAGACAAATTCCCTGACATTTTGACAAATTTCCTGACTTTCCATAATAAACACTAATGAAAATCCAACTTTCCAGGTAGGTTGGAATCCTGTATATTTATATTTCTCATTTCTATTATTTCTATTCTAATTTCATTTCCTTGAATAATTGTAATAACCAAGACCAAAGTAAACATCTTATAGAGCTCAAATGTTTAATAATTCAACACATAAACAAAGATTTATTTTAATAATAAATCATTCTGCAGAAAGTTGTTTCAATGGTCTCTACAAATAAAAATTTCAAGAGAAGTTTATAAGATTTTCACTGAAATCCATATACCTTTCAAATAAGTGAAATTTATTCAAGTTACTTTAAAAATATCAAATGATGATATATTCAGTATGTATGGTTTCATATATAAACACATTTTTTAGAAGAGATTTAAATTAATTAGTTTTTTAAAAGTAAATACACAAAATGCTTTACGCTAATAGAAAGATAATTTTTATTTTATAGCTTTTGATTTATTTTAAATAAATCAAAAGCTATAAAATAAATATATTTATTTTAAATAAATCAAAAGCTATAAACAATTATGTAAGATTTTGATTTTATTTAATGACTTTAGCATTTGTAAATGAATTTTTTCCTCTAATCTATCTATATAAATGAGGATGTTTGTTTGTTTGCTATACACTTGTAGGCTGTTTGACCAATTGCTATGAAATGTGGAAGTTACGTTCAATTACTTCTAACTTAGATAATATCATACATTCCACCCGAAATTATCAATTGGTTTTCCATATATCGATTAATTTTTGTCTACATTTGATTACTGGCTTTACATGTAGTGTCATCTATTTAACAAAATAAATTTAAAATTGAAAAAAATTTAACTAAATATAATTCTTACCAAAAAGGACATGATTTCAATATATATATATATATATATATTATATTCTCTGAATTACTGTGACAATGATATAGCACGAAATGGACACATCATTACACCATTACTGTGACAGGTAGCACATAGCACTTGCCTGCATGGAGTATAGTAGTGTTTTACCCCTGTACATCATAATTTTCATGTTAGCAATAGAATCATGCCAGTTATGTATCTAACTCCATTCAGAGCAAAGTTTTGAATTTAAATAATGTGACTTTCAGTTTATAGTTAATTGGGACCTCCTGCCCCTAAGCTTTCTATATTTTGTCTCGACTTTCATCTATCTAACTCTGTTCTTGAGATTAAGGAAAGACAGAGATGAACAGATGACAGTGACAATTTATAGGTGTACAATTTTTTCAAATTGTAGCCCAATAAGTATCCTCCAGTAACCGAGTAGATAAAACTACCAAATACTGGTAGTCTGTCACAGGTTTGCGCATAGCCAATGGACTGGCCACGTGGAGTTTTCTGGGTTTTCTTCACGTTAGTAACGCTTAAATTGGAGCCAGCTTTACATAAAAGTCTTTCCAAGATGCATTCTCCTTGGCAGATCGCTCATGTGTTGCATTGCCATAACCAAATGCCAAACCAATTTTAGCACTTTCTATAAATGTGATATTTACAGACATGCTTAACTACCAAGAAACCTGAACATCCTACCCCCCAATTTCATCTCCCCTTAGTAACTGAAGCCCATTGCCCCAAACTTCTTTCACTGATACTACTTTTAGATGTTCTAATGTTCAGTCAAATTAATGTACAGTACATGTAACAATTTTAAGGCATGAAGTAGAGTTGGAACTCTTTTTCTGTGCCAATGTTTATTTTTTGTATTTATTATCATGGTGACATTGCTTCATTCAAAATTTCCTGTAGTTGTAGTTTGTGTAATGTGCACTTTATTCACATGTTGAGTCTTACTGTCAAATCTGCTTCCAGCATGCTTATGCCACTACTTTCAAAATTTTCCTACTTAGATGTTTTTGCTGAGCTTTACTTTCTCAACCTGGTTTCACCAGTATTTTTTACAGGATCATATAAAAGCAATTATTCTTGTATTTTTACAAGACTTTTTTTTTATTTAAACAAGTTTTATGTGAAGTCTTTCAGATGTTAAGGTTAGCAACTTTGATCCTGCATGGGGCCATCACAACCTATCCAACATAAACATTTTTCAAATATTAATAGTAGACCAGTATTAAGTAGTATTTGTTGAGCATCCTCTCTTCTGAGATGAGGTCAATTACTACTTTTGGTCTAACTTCAACCTCCTTCCACAACACTCTTCTTCCTATTGGATCCACCCACCTATGGTGCCGACTGGGAATGCATTCAGTGTCCTCATCCTGTAAACTCCCATGTAAGGCACTTTGTTGTGGATGCTTATATTTATATATTTATATGCCTTGCCAGGTATGCAATGCCATATATGGGAGTTCACAGGTTGAAGACACTGAATGTGTCCCCAGTTGGCACCATAGTAACCAACAATGGTTATATCGTAATGTTAAATATACTGGAAGAGAAGATCAGACTAGAGGTCTGTGTAGTGTAACTGGCAGCGCACCTGCATGTTAAGCAAGAGTTGCAGGTTTGAGTCCCATACCAGGCCGATTCTTTTCTTCCAGTTTAGTCTAAAATTATTTAATTAAATTATAATTATAATAATAATAGAAAAAATACAATATCATATTTTTAATTCATGTCTACTTGATGAATAAAATTGAGCCATTTCATACCATCCAAATATCACAATAAACATGACAATGGTAGAGTGAAATAACCAAACTCTTTATATGGTTTTCATTTTAATATTTATTATATAATAGTATTTGATTTTTATAACTACAAGCATTATCTAACATATGGTTTATCACACTGAGTGACCAATCTAACACATCTTAAAAATTTTCTTCCTCTAATGTACACAATTTAAAGAATTTTTAAAATGTGTTAGATTGGTCACTTGGTGTGATAAATCCTTATGTAAGATAACATTTGTAGTTGTATAAATCAAATATTAAATATAATAAAAAGGTTAGAATACAAAATAATCTAATAATCTTAATTGAAACTATCTCAAATACTATAGTAGATATAACAGACTTATCACACTGCTACTGGTGATATCAAAATGACACTTATATCATCAGAATGCAACTTTATTACTGGCATGCATCTTGGTACACAACACCCTCATCAGCCCTACATAAAAATATATAGATATCTATTGTATAACAAATTTGCAGAGAAAGTGACATTAATTACAATCCACAATTTAAAACATACCTGTTCAAGATTTATTTCCACCCACACTGCACAGTACTATGAGGATTGCATGCAAGTCTCTGTTATCTCTACTATAGTATTTGAGATATTAGTTTCAATAATTTTTGAAACAAAGCTGTTTTATAATAATATTAATGTTTGTACTTATTTTGCCCAAGCATAGCTGGGCTTACCTGCTAGTACAGTAGAGCATCGATTATCCGACCCCCGATTAAACATCACATCGGTTAACAGACTGTTCTAGTCGGCAGATTTCAAATGTCCACTAGTGATGTGGCGCTACAATATTTGGCTATGTCTTGGCTACTTTGATATTATTTTTGTTAAATTTTTGCATGTTTTAGCTGGTAACACTGGCTTGACCATGAAAGGGAGGCCAGTATTTAAACGATACCTAATTTTCTAATTATGATTGGTTGTTTGTTTTGTGAGCAATAAAATAATTTAAAAATAATTTTTAACAATAGAATAGCGACGATTATTATTTTTAAAAAAATTTGTTAGGCTTAACATCGACGAAAATTCAATGCAAAGTTGGTTAATAGCGATATACTAATATACTATACTAATAATGTATTTTTTTCATTCTTTTTGGTTATCCGATTTTTTCAGTTATCTGACCAACCCGAGTCCCCAATTGAGTCAGATAATCGATGCTCTACTGTATTAATATATTTTAAAATAAAAAAAGCAAGAAATTTTTAATCAATATTTTAACTGTAGAAAGAATAGTCATCAGGAACAAGTTATTCAAAGAATTCTAGAATATGAACTCAATTTTAAAAATAACTCTTATTTTTTAAGATTTAAACTTTTAATGTTTTAATTTTATCCTCAACCAAAATTTGTTAAATAAAATTATTATAACATTAATCAGGCCCGTAAACTAGATTTTAAAAACATTTGTTTCTAATAAAGATTTGCTGGAAAACATGAAAATGTGATATTGATTAACGTTAAGATAAATTCCAGCTTTGAATGACAATTTCATATTATAATATTAAGCAATGTATCTTTTATTCTAATATAAGAACATTCTATTCTTCTATAATATGTTAAGTTTATTTTATTTTGGAATAGAATGTCTCTTATTGTTTCATTTTTCTATGAAATGCAAAATTTATTCAATATTTAAAATCTCACCATATCAGCCTCCTTTTTAAAAGCTTCAAGAGCAGACAAACAACCACTGCTTAAAAGATAATCAGCAATAGCTTTATTCCTGTAAAAAAAAAAGGTTTCATGTTTATATATATCAAATTGCATTTTGAATCAACAGACTATTAAAAAGTATAATCCTTTATTAAAACTATTGATCTAAATATACTTGACATACATTTATACATTGTGTGCGCGCACACAAAATACACAGTAAAACTTCTGCAAAGACAACCAGCTCCCAAATGACCTAATTTTCTCTTGAATAAAATTTTTGGCCCATATGTCAAAATATTTGATTCCCTTTAAAAAGACCACCTCTTTACCCAACCAACGACAATCCTCTTACAGTACAATAAAAAGATACTGCTTGACCATGTGCTACAAATGTGGCCTAAAATTGAAATATTTTGTGGACTAAATATTTTAAATGAAAACTAAGTTTTAGATAACTTTCTCTGTCAATAAAATGACAAATTGAAGACAAGATGACAAGAGTGTCAGAGGCAAAATTTACTGTTAATGGACCTTGACTTTGTTTGTACAACTTACATTTGATCATAACTGCTCCTTCTGTGAAGGTATGGAAAAAAATTTAAGGGATTTCTTAATTACTGTAATTTATTTACAGTATATACAGTACAATAGTATTTAACTTTCACTTTTATAACCACTTAAAAGGGGTTTTTCTGTAATGGTTATGGTAATTAATTTCAAAGAACTGGTACAAATACTGGTGTAGACTGCAGATTGTATCTTTACTGGAGAGGGATTGGCAAGAATTCCAATCAGAAATGCATTTAAATAAAATATCAGAGAGTTAATTGTCTTTTGAGTAATTTTTGAACTTGGGTGAATGTTGGATTCAAAAGACATAATATTTCAATTTATTCATCTGATAAACCTCTTTTAAGTGGTTATAAAATTGAATGATTATATCAGGCAAATATTGCTAACTTTAGCTTTGTATTAAAAGTAGTTATATTATTCAAAATCAAAATAAAGTTAACAACATGATTTTAAATCTGTAAATTACAATATGGTATCTTTGTAAACTTTTGTGAGTGCACATATATTTGGAAATAATACAGTATATATCAGGATGGAGACTCATCTTTAGCCAGATATGTCTTTGTTCCCTGTCTTGATCCAATTCCCCACACATTAAAATTTTTCTGAGAATTACCAAAAAAACTAGGACTCGTAGCTTCACTTTTAAATCATTGTGGTGACAACCAGATGGCCAAGGCAGTTAAGGCATCAGTCTATTTTCTGAGAAGTGGAATCAAATCTAGATAGCAACTCCAGAAACTTTTAATTAATAGAGAGATCCCGAATAAGTGTCAGTCACTCCTCACAAAAGCACATGAATCAAAACAACTGACTGCTAATAACTGATCTCCCATGACAATTGCCAAAAAATTTCAGTTGAAGTTTGTTTTTTTCCACTTAACCAATTTTATAAAATGTTGGAATTTTTTTAGTTAGTTAATGAATAATTTTTAATATGAGATAAAACAATTTAATTGAAAAAGATTTTAAATTAAAAAGGCATGTAAAAAGAGACTTTAAAAATTTATTCATTTATTTCATGGCAAAACTGCATGACATTCCATGCAAATAAATTTAATAATATTAGCATGGCCATAATGCTGAAAAAGGCATCAGTTAATTGATATTTGCTGTACTTCTGCATTTTTTGAATGAACTGTAAAGATGTTAGAATTTTGGGTGTTAAGATGTCAAAGTTTTGTGCAAGTGGTTCATTCTTTATTTTACTGTAATTGAAATTGTACACGTGATTGTCATTTTTACTTTACTTTATATGATTGTCTTGTTTTACTTTACTGAGTCAGGATGCAACTGTCTAGTGCAAGGATGGACAACTTTTTTCTATGTAAGGGCCACATTTAAAACTTTTGAACTAACATGGGCAACACATGAGAAAAAAGAAACAAAATTAAGTAAATCACATTTATTTATTCATATAAGATTATAAATTAACATAAGTATACTTAATTTGACTTCTGTCACTGATGTGAATGCAATATATCTGAAATATTTGGTTAAATATTAGTCACTGCTTGTTTTAAATTAGTTTTGATGTGAGACTGTTATCGATTTCTTGTTTTACTTTTTACTAAATTTTTATTAAGTTATAGAAAATAACATTAAGATTTTTGCTGCATACTTCCTTAAGTTTGGAAATTGATATATTTATTAATATTTTGTATGGCTCGGGCAGGGCTGGATCATCGCATAGACAAATGAGACAAATATCTAGGGCCCGGTCAAACTATTTTGAAAATATTTGCAAATAAGATAGATTACTCTTCTGTTGGACAACTGTATAATACTGGTAAAACTGATAAAATATTACATTATTTAAATATTAACCAAACAGGTTAAATTAAACAAGTAAAACGGCAAAACCGTATTTGGGACACGACTATGTCTCGGAGACACTACTAAGCGGAATCACTTTGACGCTCAAACCGGATCTCTTTCTCATTCTCCAATCTTCTTTGGTATTGCTGCTTTTGGGCACAATCGTTCAAACTTCGCCGGCCATGATCACGAGGTCGTCCACAATGCATTTTTGATGAAATTAACCTATCCGATTTCAAAATTTTTCTCTGTTGCGCGTCGGCCCAGGTTGAATTTTTGTTGACGCCTAACAAAAATTTCTCGTCTTTGAAAAAAATAATTGTGGCTATTGTATTGTCTGAAATTTTTTTTATTTATTTTACACAAACAATATACAGTTTAACCCGATTATAACGTCAAATTTTTATCGGTTCCACGATTTTACTATACTAGATAATGTTAAAAAAACCTACTTGTAACGACATAAAACACTGTTTTAATGTCATATTTGAAGCACTCCCAAATTTACAAAATTAGATTACAAATTTTATTTAACAAAGAAAATACTACATGTTCAGTCCTAGGGTCAGAGTCCATTTCCTTGAATGACTGTGGGTGGTACTCTTGCCACCTGACTTCAGTTTGCCTGTTTGTAGAGAGAGTCCCTATTTTGTATTTTACTTTCATTCGGTTCCCTGAGTACCTACAAGTCTGGTTTTTTTTATGCTCACATGATTTGGGCACTTAATACTCTGTGCCAAATTGCAACTCCTGACATGTACTCCTTCATACCTCTAACATTGTGATACAGCAAGCAGTACAATTTTATAAACAAGACATAGTCTTGTTGACAATTATTTTTTTAAGGTAATATTGCTATTGTACAACAACTTTTGTTAGACACTTAATAAAACAAATTTCAATTTTTTAAATTTATAAACAAACTGTTCAAACTTTTCTAGAAAAACTAAAATTTATTGTTGTGAATTAAATATTTTTTATTAATAAAAATTTAAGATTTGTTTTAGTTTTTCACATTATTTAGTTTTGTTTTATATTTTTTGTGCACTCTATTTCTTGTGAGAGAGAGAGAGGGGGCCCCGTAAGAAGAAAATGTCTAGGGCCCCAAAGTGGGTTAATCCAACCCTGGGCTCGGGTCACACAAAAATTAATCGGCCGCATGTGGCTCAGGGGCCACAAGTTCTACACAAACCTTATTCTAGATCCCTGGTCTAGAATAAGGTTACCATAAGTTCAGAATCAGAAATTGGGACATTTCTGGTTCAATAAGTGGTAAAAGTAATAGTATCATGGTAAAAGTTAATAATAATAAAAACACCTTTCTCACTTTTTCTAGCAAGTTTTAATAAAATGAACTAATGTTTTCAGCTATTTTGAATAGCCTTCCTCAGGTTTAGCATAATTTTGAACATCAATTATAACAAGATTTAAAATCATCGCTAAACCCGATGTAATAGCTAATCTCCAAACGTACGCCGTAAATCCATCGGGCTAGTTTTATGGCTAATTACTATATTAATTACATAACGAATTTGGTACTAGAGGTAAGCGTTAGGCGCCATCTCTTATTAATATTAATAATTATAAATAAATTAATTAATTTAAATAATTTAGAACCGCTGGGAGAAAAAATCGGCCCGGAGCGGGACTCGAACCCACAACTCCTGCTTACCGTGCAGATGCGTTGCCAGTTACGCTACCCGGACCTCCAGTACGATCTCCTCTTCCAGCGTATAACTATGTAACCATCGACGGTTATTACAATGCCGGCTGGGGACACATTCAGTGCCCACGTCCTACTCCTATACGGCACTCAACCGGCCATCGCAAGCCCCGGCAAGGCGTAATATATCTACAATCATCG